ATGGCTTCCCTTATCAAGGAAGGAATCACACCGGTGTTTTTCTTAAACTAAAAAAATAAACCAAAATGTGATAAATAAAATTTGAACTTGAAACCAATTCAAGCGTGCTGCTCTCACACCCCACACCACGCTTCCGCTCCCAGCATGCAATCCACACACAGAGAGAGAGAGTGATAGAGAGGGGGTCACATCACAGTGGAGTCAGCTGTCTTAACCATGGCTTGTGTAAAGCAAACACATACCAGCTTCATCACTGTGTCTGTCACGCGACTCTGTTCCCCTTTCAGGCTCTGTCTTTACATTTATTTTGAAAGATGAAGCTCGCGATTATGGTAAGGGGCGTTACATTTCCCATAGGGCTGATCGATTCATTGCATTTGCGATAATATGAGGCTGCGATTACACTCGGTCACGTGACACGCGAGAGTGAAGAGGTGGGTTCGACTTAAAGAGCGATTGGTGTATGACATCAAAGTACGGCGAGAGAAAGCATAAGGAGACGTCCGCACTCTCTTATAACTCTCACACTACTTTGATGACACACACACCCATCGGTCTAAGCAGCGCTGCTTCAAGTCGAGCGCAGGCCATCAGCAGAAAAAGAAAAGAAATAAAACGGTAAACAGCCAAAGGACGTAACTTAGAATGGGAGATGGATTGGTTTGTGAAAGGGAAGAGAAAAGCCATAGATGAAGTTGCACAGACCCAGGCAGTTGCTGGTCATTTAAAAGCTAAATGCATAAAATATGATGAGGCATATCTTGCTCTCAGCTTCACTCACCGTGTCTATACCGGACGCTACAGTTGACGCGTTCCGCCGCAACAGCTCTACACTGGACGCGACAAAGAGACCGTTAGAACTCATTTTAACTTTGTGTCAGTACGTCATAAATAGAACAAGGCATCAGTTTAATGTTGGGTTTTGTCGTGTTGCGTCACACCGCATCTAGTGTAGACAGATTATAATGGGTTCTACTGTATTTTGCCGCTCGCGTCCGGTGTAGACACACGGTGTTTAATGTTGTTGGTGAGGAGGAAAGCCTGTGTGTGTCCTATGCCTTAGCGGACAGCATGAAACCCACAAAAA